GGAAGATCAAGTGCAATTAAAATTTTTAGCTGAAGTTCCGTGAGCATTTAAGAAGTTTTCAAAATTTAAGGAAAATTTCCGGAGCTTCAAGGTATATCATCGAAATTCAAGGCAATTAAATTAAATTCCGATTTTTAAAATATATTGATGAATTAAGGGAAGTCTAGAGAATTTATGGAAAGTTCAGAGATCTTTCCGGTAGTCCCAATAACATAAAAAATGCACATTAAACATCAGGAAAGTCATTAAAGAAAATTTTAAAATGATGTTGAATTTATTTCCATAATTTTAGGGCGTTTTCATGAGCTTCAGGCTTATCTTGAGAACTTAATTGAAAATCGTAGAACGTCATTTATTATTTCAATTAAATTTCAGGTAAATTGCGGGGTCTTAAAAAGTTACAAAAAAATCAGGAAATTCCAAAGAACTCAAGGGAAGTTCTAATTTTTTAGGAAAATTGCAGGAGCTTCATAGAATTTCAGAGAACGTCAGGAAAAATCAGAAACATTTTAAAATTGGTTCTGTATGGTTGTGGGCTGTTTCGAGAATTGAGGAAACGTCACGGAAGATCATTGCAAATCTATTAATTTAAGAAAAATATCGGGAATTTTCAAGCATTTCAAGAAGTCCCGAACACTTTGGAGATATTTAAAAAACTGCAGATTTTTTTGAGAAAAGTCAGAAGAAAGAAAATTTCAAGATTGTTGGAGATGTTCCGAGATTTTCAGGGAATATCTTGGTTCCATTAATTTTTGGGAAGGTACAAAAAATTCAAAGAGGAGAACTTTATGAAAAATTTTAAGACATCAGGACGTTCCATGAACTCCAAAAATTGCGGGAACTTCAAAGATGATATATAATCGTTAGCGAAATTGAGAGAACTTTAGGGAAGTCCAGAGAAGTTTTTTTAACCGTTCATTTATTTGGAAGCCTCAACATCTTTACGCAGCCGATTAATACATTTTCAGGGACAAAGTCCTATCTAGTTTCCACTAAGCCGTCGATGAAATGAAGTGAGTGACTTATAAGCGAACAAAGGGAAAAAATAGCCAAAAAGCAATTTTTCACAAAAGTGCCAGGTCCTGTGTTGAAAAAATCTACTGATTTTCTGCACACAGACTACTGAGACATACGGAAACCGAATTATGGATGGAGGAGCAAAACTTTGAGAACATTGCTGAAAAATGGGACAGTATAATGAGCACTTTTATATGAAAAACCTGTACCTGCATTGAAAATAACCGTAGCGCACTTAACTTGCTTAACTAGACAAAAGTATTCGCACCAACAACGTTTCATTCTTATTTGAGATGGAGCAGGAAGAAATTCATTTGCTTTTGGAGTAAATTTACATTTCTTTCAGTTCAGACATGAAAAAGTTGTTGTGGGTGTGAGTGTTATCATTTTTGAGAGCTTAAGACCCTCTTCCCCCACGGGAAGCTTAGACATTTCCGGAGAACTTCGAGATTTGGGCGTAATTGTTTTTGTTAACAAACACGTCAATCACCGATTTCTCGTGAATGATAGCTCAATCTCGCAAATAAAGTATACCAAATGAAAGAGATATCATTCTTTTACCTGATCGTGTTGTTAGTTTTCTAGGCTGAACTATATTCGCGAGAAATCGGGGATTGAAGTGTTTGTTTTTCAAAATCAGTTACGCCCAAATCTCAAATCACTCCGGATTTGTCTACAATCGCCTACTTGCATGGCCATCTTGACCAAGAGTTGTAGATTTTGAAACCATCTGGACACGTGGTGTGTCGTTCGAGGAGGAGTAATTACGGGCCGAAGCAGTTTGCTAGGTGCTGGAACAAGCTATTGGATGCTCTTCTTTAAAGCATGGGGTTCAATTAAAATGATATTATTAGTTCAGTGTCCAGATTTAGTTTTCTAGATGCACTTCCTCAGTTGTCCGGGATTCAAACCCAGCCGCCTCCAGCATGGTCTAGCTTTGAAGCCGCAGCATTTACCAACTGAGCTAAGGGCGATTGTTCCCTACCATTTTAAAATGAGACAAGATTTATTAACTCCATAGATGGATAGATCATGATTTGACAGATACTTAGTTTTTGATTGTTGTGACTTCGTATTTGATATGTGTATGTGTACACACACAGTTACTGTATGGGAATGATATTCTTCTACCAATGTTGCCGAAGGATTCCACAAAGAATCATCTTAATCTTTGTTCCAATTTTGATAGGCCTAGGTCATTATTAAGTTATAAATTTTTATAAAAAAAAAATTAAATAAAAAGTTAAGCCATCTGCAAATGGTATTCTAGATTTTTTAAAAGGAAAATAAGTACTCAAAGATGATTAAGTAGCAGTTCTTCCCTCCCGTTGGCTAGTTTTTTTTTAACTTGGACGTTGGTGGGCGGGCCTAATCTTATGCTTCATAGTGGAGCGTTGGAGACGGTTGGTTTAGGTCCAGCATCGTTGGCTCATGCCGTGACAGAATAGCGTCATGAGCATGCCATGAGGATTACTGAGCTTCCCCTCTCTGATGATCCATTGCATAAGAGAACCAAAGTTCTAGCCTGAAGTGATAGTATCACACTTGTTACTCCTTTATTTGAAAGCCGCGTTATAGTACGCTTACGTATAGGCACTGACGTTGGGTGCGATACTGGCGGGTTTTGCCGCAAATCACTCTTATTTTATTTATTTTTACGCAGATAGATTTATTTGGGTTTGCAAGGGAATTATACTATTGAAATATTTCAGAAAGTGCCCAACAGTGCTCCTTCTAGTGCTTGAGTGACAAGCTTTCGTTGTTGTTTTCATTGAGGTATTACTCAGGGAACAATGTTAACCACCATTTTTGTACATGGTATTGCAACTAATCTTATATGTGCTTCGTTTTGATTTGGGATAAGTGTTTGAACTATGGCTCGGGATTTCCACTGTGGCGTGCTTCTATTGTGACATAACCATACGTATTTTTGTGGTGCGACATAGTGGAAACGTGTGAGCGTAGTTGAAGTATGTACCCTATGTCATTTAAAAATCAGCTAGGAAACTAACTTCAAAGTGAAGCATTTTAGTCACTTGAAGGTGTCACCTGGGACGAACTAATATATATTAAATATAGGTCAAAGTCAATAACAACTTGAAACACGTTAAATTTTAGATTACATTCACAAGTGCAGGTACTTAATAAATCATGGTAGGTAGATTAGAGATTTCAATTATTTATTAAATTAGACTAGAGATATCATAATCATCAAACGAACTTAAATAAGAAAATTTAGACAGCCTAGTAGCTTTAAGTGGATTAACAGAAGAGTTAGGATGCGGAGGGTCCGCTTAGGGAAGCAACTGGCAACTAGCCTTTTCATGTATTGTCTGTTTATTTTGATTATTGCTTTCAAATATCAATTTGGTATGTATGTGAAAGGATGAATCAGTGGGAGATGGATTTTCGGTTTCTTTACATTTAGCATCACTATGTGTCATTTCCTCAAAACTCCCCAATAACCGGCCTCTTCAATCCCTTCCTTTTCCCATGGCGTTCAAGTGGTGCGCATAGACTATTCAGCCATTACCCGTCCTTTATCCTCGGCTTTGGATTGACTTGCGCTCCCATTGCCCCACCAAACGCTGCAAAATGAAAAATGAAAATGAAAGATGATTAAGTAGCAGCTCTTTAAATTCCTTTGGTTTGTTTTTTCCGTCGATCTTGTTTTCCGTGCTGAGCACCAATGCTACCGACGTGCCAGGAAGGCAGCTCCCACACCTGGACCCTACCTATCGACCCATCAACTCATGAACCGGGGACCAACGGCTTTACTTCCCATCCGAAGGAAGGCGTGATCAGAAATGTTATGCCTCAGAACATCCCGGCGGCGCCGACTGGGATTGAACCCAGGCCTGCTGGGGTGAGAGGTAATCATGCTTACCACTACACCACCGGCGCCGTTAGCAGCTCTTTAAATGTTTCATTGAATTTTTAAGGGTGCTACCAACCCTATAGGCGTCAATAGTCAATAGTAGAATTTAAAAAATATATATGTTTTGAGCAGTTCTACGCCAGATGATGAATCAGAGAAACTTGACCTACTTGCACTCCGATTTGCATGAAACTTTTCATAGTTGTTAGTACTGGGCAATGATTCACATTTTGAACAGTTGCATACCTTTAGGCGTTATCCCCATAGACAATAATTCACACAGAAAAAAAATCTGAATTTTAACTATCGCGTAAAATCTCCGCTCGTTTAATGTTGAGCTACAGTTGGCATAAACTACCAAATCGTTTACAAGTTTGCATAAAGTATTACTAATTTATGCGATATTGCACTTAAATTGACATGAAATATCGTGTAAATTTAAGCCAAATCTAGCGTTAATTTTATCTCGCAGAAATTTGCATGATTTTTTCACACGGTGCAGGACCCTGCGTCTAATTACGATCCAATTATTGAATATCAATGTTTTTCGTTTACTTTTGACTTGGTTGATGGATATATTGCAATTGATAGTTGAATATAAGAATAATGAACATTTTCCCGTCAAGATTACTTAAGTTAACTGAATTTTAAGCAAGTAATAGCTTATTTTGTAACTGAAGATTATTAGCAGAACAATTAAGATTTTACCTAAAATCATATGTAAAGTCTACAATATTTAAATCAAGTTTAATCACACTAATACAGAATAGCAAAAGAACATGTTTTATCATTCAGCAATTGATCAATTATCAACATGTCACCATGATCGGTAAACGTCATGGCCATGGATAAATACTGCATAGGAAAAAAATGTTGAGTGTCCAACAATTGGCAACTTACCCTATAGAGAACATCATCCAGGATTTGTTCGACAGTCTATGTATGTGTATAAAGACAAATAATACTATCACAGTGTCCATTTCCAAACTTCTAGAATTAGTAGCACAGAGCTAAATATTCCAAAACCATTTCCAATTAGTATTTCGATTAAGTACATACACACTTCTGTCACAATTCTAATCCCAATTTCTCCATTCCATTCCAGATTGTTCGGATCCGGAGCGTGCTCAGCCTGCCACCAGACGATACCCGCCAACGAGTTTGTGATGCGAACGACATCGCACACGACGATAAACAACAACCTGAACAACGCCAGCAACCAGAATGGGGCAAACAACAACAACAACAATAACAACAACAACAACAACAACGGCCAGGCCGTCCCTCAGCATCACGTGTTTCATCTCAAGTGTTTCCAGTGCTCCAAATGCGGTTGCCATCTGGTGCAAGGTGACCGATACTACATGCTGGGTGGAAGTTTAGTGTGCGAACAGGACTGGCACAAGCTGGTGAAGACTTCCAATGCCCAGACGAATCCCCCGCTGCGCAAGGGTAAGGTCGGGCGACCTCGGCGATCGCGAGACTGAGATGGACCCCGGCTGGGTCGTCCGCCCAAGGTGAAACGTCCACCGATGGGAATCGACGAGACGCCCAGCACTAGGGCAGCTGCGACGACACCGGCTGCTTTACTGGACGATCTGGAGCTAACCGCGCAACGGAACTTAGCTCTAGCTCGTCTCAACTCCTCGCCTCTGCCACCGATCCAGACCAACCATCTGAACAACGCCAGTAATAACTCGGTCGCCAGTGGGCCCAACAACGTTGGACCCAACACCGCTACCGAGCAGTCACTGTACAATCATCTCTACGGCAAAGAGCTGGGGTTGATGAGAAAGTTGAGTAATATCGATGAATATCCAAACCATGCAGCACGCAACTATCAGCAACTGTTGCAGCATCCGGACGGGGTTCTACCGCCCAATGCCGCCCACCAAATGCAGCAAAATTTCACCGGCCATCCACATGCCGCCAAATTTAATCAGTTCAATTACCCAAATCCGGGTGGTCTGTTGAAGCCTTGCTACGACTACGCCTCCCAACAGCAACAAGCTGCAGCAGTCGCTGCTGCGGCGGCCGTAGCCCAACAGCATCAGATGCAGTCCCACCAGAATGCAGTATCGGGAACGACTGGCAACGCGACGCCAACGTCCAATCAACAGATGAAAAAGGAAATGTTTAATCTAAGTGGTAGCAATGGAGCTGATTTATACACACCTCCCCCTCCATCGACCTCTTCCGGTTCGGTAGCATCACCGGCATCAAACGGCGCGACCAACACCACTGCGTCATCTATGGCCAACGGGTCCGGAGGCAATGGCTCGCTAGCATTCATGAATCTTCATCAATCGTCCTCTGCAGCTGCAGCAGCCGCCGCTGCCACTGCTGCCATGTATGCCAATCATTTTAACACCAATGGCACAGGTGGCAGCGGTGGCCTCTCCAAAATGGACAACGGTGACAGTTTAGCTGATTTCAACCCGATGCGAAATGTAGGCGGCAGCAATCCCATGAGCAACGGCGGTCCACCCAACAACAATGGCAGCAACAATCTAATCAAATCCGCCGACTCAGTCCTGATGGCAAGAAGCTCAATTATGAATAATTTAAATAATAATCTTAATAAAATTGAACCAAATACTGATACCACACTTAACGATAATAACAATAATCCACATAATCATCACCATCAGCAGCAAAGCCACAATCATCTCGCTTCCCATCAGCAGCAGCATCACGGTGGCCATCACCCATTTCATCATCAGATGAACTCTCTCGGCGGCGGAGGCGGTAATGTGGGGGCTGCAGGTGCTGCCGGACCTGGCAATAATGATGACGATAACGATAAATTATCGTCACCATTAACGGGCACCTCGTCGCTCACCAATACCGATCTGAACGATCCCGAGAACGAGGGCAATGATGATGGGTATACCATTCTGTAAAAATAGAACCGGTAGTTGTAACAAAGCAGTGATGTACCACCTACCCAGAAGAGCTTGATAGAAGACACACAAAACAACATCATAAACACATGAAGCACCAGGCGTCCGCTTGGCAATCGATTCAGTCGAGGAGCCCAGTTAAGGAAGTTCTGATTCTGAGAATTCATTTACCAAGTGGTAGGTAACAGTTGTACATAGCACAGTCCAAAACTACTCAATTCAAAGTCTACTTCCAATGAATAATCACCGAACCGATATCACTTGATTGCTAGACGAAAATGTGCCATTTTATTTCTCTTTCTCATCAAACTCCCCAGATGTAGAGATAACCGGCCCACGGTGGTTGAAGACAAACGAAGTAAATAGTTGTTTTGTTTGTAAACTGTTTAGTTAAAGATAAAGCAAAAGTGTCTCCAAAACACAATGTGATGTTGAGAATTAATGCAAAATGTAGTAGATCGTAAACAATACAAACGTTGTGAGTTACAGTAAACATACCACTAGCACACAGAGCAGAACAGAATATTGTATGAAAATGCAAAACGAAACGACTCTTCTCAAATTAAATTAGCAAAGTTAGTACATTGTATCCTACAACACACACTCACTCACACAGCAAAAAGAAAACACAGACAAAACGAACAGAATACAGAGGATTAGGTGATAAGCTTAAGTTGTATAAAGAAACTCAACCTTAATGATTAGTCCTAGGGGTTAAGAAAAAATAAAATCACAAAAACAGACACACGAATCGACTTAGCTGAAAATACTACAACTCTACCAAAACTTCGCTACATCTTGTAATTTTTTGTTTGTTGATTAATTTATATTGAACATAGATGGGTTAAGTGAAGCGCTGTAGAAACAAAACAAAAATGAACAAGAACCCACGCAGAATCCCACTCCGCGAACTCTTCCCATATGTTACACCAGGAGTTTGCGCCAGCGGGCTTAGTTCTCAAGTGGAAACGCAAAATTCTCAGTAACGACATCGACGTTGTTGGCAATAGAACACAGTAAAAAAAAATCATTTTGATCGCCGAGAATCCTCCCTCCGAGCTTGGAAACGAGTGACGACGAGGAACGCACGAGGAAACCGAATTTGTTCAACTTTCTCTCTTAAGAGCAAAAAAAAACAAAACAAAACGCAAACAATAGAAGTTAAATGACAAACCATCAGCTCTTTACTCGCTACATATGTAACAAATCTAAGTGAATCACAGTTGGAATGAATGTGAATTGATATAATCATTTTTCCACTCTCTCACACACACGGTGGAAAAATAAACCCTTGTAAATTATTTCGAATTAAAGAAAGAAGAAAAACGGTGAAAGCCCGGCTTTGTAATTACATCAATTTGATTATATAACTATTAAAGCTATTGATAAATGAAATGACTTATTACAATTATTGACTAATGAGTAAACCCAATTATTGATTAATGCAAGGAGCAGAAGAAAAACAAAATACACAACAGAATCACTGCGTGGCGCGTGAGCCACGTTCTGTGCTACTGTGCAAACCGTTGTGGTCGGAAAATAAAGAAAATTATCTTGAGGAAAACTACGCGGCGCATTTGCTCTCGGCAGGAAAGAAAATCCTTTGGCAAACGTTGAACGTTTGAGGTTTTGTCTGGGTGGTTAACAATTATCTGTAAAAGTAAAATGTAAACCGGAATCCTGGTTAGAAGCTGTTCATCGACTATGAAAACAGTTCGGGGCGAGTTTTTAGAAGTCCCTACAGTTTTTTGGATATTTGTATGTACCTAAGACGCTCGCCAAACTCTCCCTGAGGTCACCATTAGCGTCAGCGTTATGTTGTGCAATGGAAATTTACATTTCAGACGTTATTTATTTATATAGTTGCTTCAACCTAACGTCAATATTTGCATATATTTCATAATTCAATTAGCTCTAAAACATTTTTTCTCAATCTTTTTCTACACACGAGTTTTTAAACCCGTCAGATTCATGTTTTGGAGTTATTCCGGTTTCCGTTGGGGTCACTCTGGGTTGGAATTCGGCTTTACTGTTCTTTAATAATCAAACACACGGTGAACATAATATTTTCTCACTCCAATGATGTAATTGGACCATTAAACCGATGATCCATGATCACATTGGGCATCCCAGAAAAATTCCAAGAACCAAAATCCGTCGTGCGACATATCGAACTTAATGAATTTACAAAACTCAACCGGTAATGGCCTTATTGAGAGTCCACAGTCACACTAGCCCTCCCAGGCATGTTCTACTACCCCCGGGGAAGTGTCCAATTTCTAATAATAATCCAAACCCGTCATGCAACATACCAAACTACATGGTTTTTAAAACTCGGCCGGTAATGGCCTTATTGAGAGTCCACGGTCACATTGGTTCTCCAGACTGTGTTCCGGTGCCCTCAGGAAAGTGGCCCATTATCAACCCGTCATGCGACATATTAAACTTCATGAAGATAATGCTCTTATTGAAAGTCCACGGTTACCCTCTCATGCATTTTTAAGAGCCCCGGGGAAGGCCAATTTTCAACAAGAACCAAAACCCGTCGTGCAACATATCAAACTTCACTGTTTTGCAAAACTTGACTGGTAATGGCCTTATTGACAATCCACGGTTACACCAGCTCTCGCGGTCATGTTCCGGTGCCCCCGGGGAAGTGGCCAATTCTTGGCAAGAACCAAACCCGTCGTGTGACATACATATCAAGCTTCATGATTTTACAAAACATGACGGGTAATGGCTTTATTGAGATGTCACGGTCACATTGGCCCTCCCGTAAATGATCTGGTGCCCTCGGAGAAGTGGCCAATTATTATCAACAAGACACATCAAACTTCTTGATTTTGCAGAACTCGGCCAGTAATGGCCTTATTGAGAGTCGAAGGTCATATTAGGCTCGAGGCTTCCCAGGCATGTTCCAGCGTCCCTAGAAATGTTCCGATGCCCCCGAGGAAATGGCCAATTTCCAGGCAAGAAACGAGCCCCCTGTGTCAGAGTGAACGAGGGCTCCCATGGTACTTTGTTGTGTGCGTTCTGGATGAAAGATGGTGGTGATACTGGAGCAAGCTTGAACTACCGCAAGAACTACTATGGTGGCAGGAATCAGCAGACGCGACTGGGTTGAGTGGCTCAAAGGCTACCATGATGCCAAAGGCAGTGCGTTCTGGTGTTGTATATTCAGCTAATTTGACAATAGACGGCTTCCCATTTTCAAGATGACAATGTGTAGCATCTGCATATGACAGCGGTTGATGAAGATGATGAATGGGATCAGAAGCAAGAAGAACAATGGTGGAATACGAAAATTTATCAGCCGGAGATATGTTAATCAATGATGGCAGGAACTTGGAAGCGGGACTAGGTCGAGAAGATTACCGGCTTACATAAAGCGACAGGCAGTGCGTTCTGGTGTAGATATTCCCAAAACTGTGTCTAGTTCACATCCGGTGGTTTTAGCTGCTGGTCTTGATCCGAACCCTGATCCCGTATTCTGGTTATCTGGGTTGCTAGTGTAATAGGATGCTTTGTTGATTATTCATCAACTCCTAATCGCTGGGTGACGCTTTAGAATATTTGAGATGAAC